ACGATTCAACATAGTCGTTGCGAAGTCCAAATCCTCTGCATGATGGGACTCTCTCGTCGTGATGTCGTCTCCTCTACTCGAAGTGGAAGGAGTAGACAGTGGCAGGATGATGGTCTGAGGAAAAGAAGAAGACAATAACAATAACAATAACAAGAATGACAATACCCATATTATCAGTGGTAGTTCTCGGGTTGATAATAATAGCCTTCGGAAGAGGCCATATCATCAACTCGGGCTCCTTGGGGATACTCACTTCACCACTGACGATAATCGCCAACAACCTACACACTTGAATATATGGAAATTTTGTTGGCGGAATTCTGTATAACATTTCTACCCGAATTAGTTTATGAAACTCCTGAGCTCAACTAATGAGGAAAATACTTACATTGTAATCATAGTCTTCATCACCATCAGCGACGATTTCATTTACTAACCAACTGGGAGATGAAACAGTGGCACTAATCTATGTGCACGCATGCACATTCTATTTTTCTGGAAATTGTTCTTTAAAAACATCAACGATTTTTGACAAATTATCATCGAGCAATTCACGACTGTAGTTGCCACACAATATAAAGTCAAGAGAAACCACCATCACAGAGACCATACTTGACTCTTGAATTTGCACGCATGCGCAAATCCGTTCATGTTTACTTTTGATCACAGCAAAACAGTGTGGAAAGAAACTATACACTGAATATGTCGAGAACCGTTGCCCCCATTGAAGGAACACCAAACTAGGGGGCTTACAGGCAGAATTAATTGAGCGATGAAGTTTCACAACTACCCGTTTTACGTGGAGTAGCGTCGTGAAACTCGGTGAAAAACGCGATATTCGTGGTGATAGCAAGAGTGTAACGTCCCCTTGGTGAAGCCATTCACCCCCGGTGAGAAGCCCAACAGTTGCATGATGCAACTTGCATCTGCGCTTGATGATGAATTGGTCATCATAAGATGTTGTCAACTTGCTACCAAAGTCTTATCACACCCTGAATCAGGGTGTGACATCAGGGTCCCTGATGTTACCAAAAGAAAAGATCTCAGAAGTCTCCCCCATTCCGGAGCCCCCCTGCTCTACTAATATCGATCGACTCGCGTACTTCACGTAAAACGCTAGCAATGAACAAGATTCCGCACACACTTGTGCGGCATGAACTTGTCACGAACCGTACACGGATAGATCAACTATAAAGAAATGAAGAGAGAAAGACAGACATGAATCCTGTCATAGAATCACCGTTGGAGGCGGCTGCTCAGATCGTCGTAGTGGTACCTCCACGCGCGGCAGTCTCCCCCCCCCCCCCAGTCGGCGACAAAAGGTCACTCATTCAAATAACCACGGGTCACTAGAGTCTCGCGGCTACACTTCGACAATAACCTCGTCGTTGTGAGCTTTAGCGAAGCCATCACCTTGGAAAAATTCTCAACAGGGCCGTAGCACCTTCCGGCGCTGCGTCCGCCATGAGAGTGGTACCATCGGCATTCAAGTACACCGGGAAAAACGTCGACCATCCTCGCTGTCCAATATGTGAACCCAACCTGCAGTCTTCTGGTCCTCGATTGAAGGCCCCGCATACAAGCCCAGAACATCAGCCCCCGTTACCAAACGAACCACTGGTTCGGAACCAGTACACAATCTCCTTCCTTTAGCTTTGCAGGGCCCACAGTGCCCTCAAGTTGAGGACCTCAACCGACGGAGTAGCTCGGGTACGGTCTACTTCCTCACGCCTAACATCCAGGTGCCAAGCAGAGACGGCGATAGTTTCGCAGAAAGTCGCCCTCAGAGGTCGGAGTCGAGTTGAAAACCCCGCCATGCAGCCCAAGTAGACAAAAGGACCGCTGTTGACGTTCATCGTCTGAACCTTCACCACATGACCCTTGACGTCCAGTGCACCCGGTCGACGCCACACCATCAGTGTTCCGTCCTCCAGATCCGTGATATCCTTCTTATGTTCTCTCTCGGACGCCATTCTTCGTGCTGATTCCTGCAAGCGAGCCTCCAGCTCCATGAGTCACGGTCCGTGACTCGTTCACGATCCAAAAGACGATTCACCACTTGATGTGGACGGGGTCCGTCGTCGATGGGTCTACCTCGACCGTGGTGTCGTCCATCTCCGTCCCGAACTCCTTGGCCTGAGTCATGGAACCCAATAATGCTGCGGAGGGTGCTAGTATCCGACCCCCCATGACCAACTCCGCGGCACTCGCACCGGAAGCACGAACAGCGGAATTAACCGTCATTTTAGCATACCAGAGAGCTTCGTCCCAAGGCAGTTCCATCACCAAAACGATCTGCTTGATCCTTGTCACTCGCACCTCTGCCAAACCATTTGAGTCCTTTCTCAACGAGAAAAGACTCCACGCAGGCACGGGCAAGTACTGAATGGCCGTGGCAGCCAGCGAGTGGCGCATTATCTGAGAATCCAACGCGTTATCCGACATGAGACTCAGAGGAATGCCAAAGTAAGACACCCAACGGTCCCAGAGCAACTTCAGCATAACTTTCATAGATGGAGCACCAGTCACGACACAGTACCCAGTGATCGAGTCGGTGATAACCACGAAGCAGGTGCAATGGGGATCGTTGGGTTGATCAGGGCTTCCCAGAACTCTTGCTGGGGAAGCCATGATCAACCGTCAGGTGTTTCATCCGTTGACTCCCGTCGATGAAACCCCGCGGAATTTTCGGAGCCGTAACTTACGGCTCCTTGGCATACCCAAGGAGCCTGCTCTTGGGGCATGCTTACGGCCCGTAAGCATAGCCAACCGAGTCGCAGCCACCAGCCAGTATTCATGCACAGGTCGCGCATATCCACCCAGTATCGGCAGGCATGCGTCGGCCGAGGAAACCAAACGAAACGGACAATCTGACTCTTCATAGACCAGATTGTCCGTTTCGTTTGAAATTGTTCTTCAAAAAACATCAACAATTTTTGACTAATTATCATCAAGCAATTCACGACTGTGGTTGCTACCCAATATAAAGTCAAGAGAAACCACCATCACAGAGACCATACTTGACTCTTGAATTTGCACGCATGCGCAAATCCGTTCATGTTTACTTTTGATCACAGCAAAACAGTGCGGGGGGAAACTATACACTACATATGTTGAGGACCGTTGCTCCCATTGAAGGAACACCAAACTAGAGGACTAACAGGCAGAATTTATTAATCGATGAAGTTTCACAACTACCCGTTTTACGTGAAGTAGCGCCATAAAACTCGGTGAAAAACGCGATGTTCGCGGTTATATGCAATCATCGTGAAATATGTTTTTCATATCATTAGGGTGAAGGAACTCCAATGAAAGACACAGGCCTAGTCGGCCTATATAGCTTCTAAAGGGGAAGAAGAGTAATAATAAAGCATTCATAAGCACAATCCCATTATCGTCGTGTGTGATGTCGAGCAACAAGTTAGGGGGGGGAGGAGGTGAAACAGTGGCGTAGCTGGCCTTTACGCCGGGGGGCAGGGTAGGGGCGGGTTAGCATTTGAGGGGGTCTGGATTCCAGACTCTGCAAACTTCCGAGTCGAAAGTTATTCGATCGTCGGTAGCAACGGAGTTGAAACGCTCGCGTACGAGGCCCAAATCGCGCAATACAAGGTGCGCATGCGTGCTTCGTTCATCGTAATTTGGGTTGTCCGCGAAAACAGTGAATCCTGGAAATGGTGAACCGGAATAAATTTCCCGCGAACCCTGATAACAGTGAAGGAACTAGCGCGCGCCACCAGCGCGTGCCAACCAAATTCCAGCCCAGATCCCCTTACGTCATATGCGTTGCAATCGACTGGTTGGTCTAGCGGTTAGGCGTTAGAGCTCGTAACCGACTGACCAAGGTTCAAATCCTGTGATCATCATGGTAATTTTGTAATTGAGACGCGGTTCAACCGCGGCGGTTGAGGTATTGACCAACTCGGGCCAGTAAGCTTGCCTAACTCAGCCTCCTCAGCAGTTACTCCGGGTCCACGAGTCGTAATACAATGCTATCCAGGAGCTCAATATAGAAGTTCATGATATACGATACTCTCACAAGTATAGAAGTATTTGTTCATGTTCAAGAGGAACAGGCATTAGGACCTGTTGCCTCATGCATTGCTGTTTATCCTTGTGGTACTGCCAGAATTGTTCATCAACAAGGTTCCCATACTTCTTCTATAGTCTCTATTATGGACTCAAACGCTTTGCTTATGGCAATCGCGTATTTCAGCTAGTTGGTAACGGATTGAAAACTCACTCCCTCGTAATGGAACAGTGGAGCAGAAGACAAAATATTTGATCAAAAGTGGACTGGAGACGACACGGATTTCCGAATCCCGAAGCCCGAAGAGAGAGTACCATTCAGTACTTCCTGTCCACAACCATGGCATAGAGTGACTCAAAAGCTATTACTGGACCGTTCGTGTTCCTCCTACTTTTGAAAAGTCGCTTCAAGACACGCAACGAAGAACTAGGCGTGAAAAAGATGACAATCTATATAATATATAGATTGTCATCTTTTTCCAGTCCTCAGTGATCCATAGCGCTGCGGTGGCCGTGAGCAAGTTGACTACTTAAATATGAAACAACCGGACAGAGTGTGATCATTGAAAGTTGAACCAGCTCGAGAAGGAGTGGTAGAAAAATTACTGATATTTAGGATACCGGTGCGGGCGAGTTTGTTGTTCACTATTGTCAGGCTTTCACCCGCTTTAGTGGGAGAAAAAGTCCCTACAACGGATTCACTCACCCTTCACCCTTTCCAGGATTCACTGTTTTCAGGCGGGGCCGCATGATCAATTGAGCAAGAGCAAGGCGTAACTTCTCTCATATGGTTATGTTGATTGATGATCTTGACAATTCCACCAACACGACTAACGAATCTATAATGGTGAACATAGCCGTCCATTCTTGGATTATTCAGCCCTGAGTTTGAGGTTATTAATACAACCTGAGTTAGGGGTTGTTATTGACAACTGTATCATCTCATCTGTATCACTAGCCCCTCGAGCCAAGCGGCAGAGCCAATATGCTAGGCTCGATGCCGCCCGAGTAGAGCAAATCAAAATTACTCAATGCGAATATCAACGAAGAGTAACTTAAAATGTAACGGAGTTAAAACATACCGTCCTCACCGAACAAAAAATGCACCGTTTTGTAGAAAATGCTTTTAGCGCTCGCCCATGTGATCGATTACTGTGATTGTTAAGGAAGTGCTGGTCGAAGGCTTCCGGAGGACTAGAACTCGATGCAGAACCGGACATAAGGATTCAATAGTTAGTGGAGGTTGAGTGCAGACAGATCAGATAGATCCACGGGATCCGAACAATGGTTTGAACGGACAATATTTGAAACGGTCGGGCGAGAGCGAGCTTTACGCTACAGGGAGCGCACGCCATAAGACTGAATGGCTATAGACTCTTATCATCTCTCCTCCCCGTAAGATTGGCACAAATATCAAAAGTGAATTAAATCTACTGAATATATGCAATAGTAATGGGATTCATATTCTGGGCTTTACCGAAGTACTTCCGCATATTTCTGGAATCTTGAACAGTGCCGTCGGAAAGCTTGTAAGTAGAATCGCCAAGTACTTGTTGAACCAGTAGAGGGCCTCTCCATGAAGGAGTAAGGGGGTCGACGTTACGGACCCACTTCATCACGGAGTCACCAACCTTGAATAGACGTCGTCGTGCGACTTGTCGAGTGTAGGTTGATGGATTGATACGCGAGAGAGCATCAGCACGCATCTTCTCCATTACGTTGAGAGTGCTGTCGACCATTCTCTGTCGTTCCCGATCACGACGTCGAGCCTCGAAACGGACAGAGTCTTCGTCGATAGTGTTGCTGACGTCTTCAAACCGTCTTGAGAAGGGCGTTAGAGCATCGAAACCGTAGAATAGCTCTTGAGGACTGTAGCCATATGTAGATCGGGTGTTGATCCTCCGCTGAGCTTTAGTGACATACGCCGGCCACGATTCAGGATGTTCAGCACAGAGGGCCTTCAATGACTTCTTGAGACCAGAGTGTTGACGTTCTAATAGGGCATTGCGATGGGGGCTAGCGACAGGGATACATCTCAAGGTAGCACCTATGCTGGCAACCCAGGCGCGGAAGTAAACACCAGTGAAATAGCGGGCGTTGTCGACTGTGAAAACTCGTGGGACTCCGACCTGATCGATCAGCCTTGCTTCGAGGATACCAGTGATGGTCTTGCTGGTGATGTCGGGAGT